AAGAGATGATTTGTCACTGTCTACGACTTTCAATCAAATGTCGATAACGGTGTTTTAGGTGGATCGATGTATGTCGCACATCACTAGTCGGAGGACCTACTGCTGCGCGTGTGATGTCATACCGCGTGTACCTGTTTTTCTCGTCCTGTCATTTCGTATTCAAATTTGTCGATTCGGGTACTGCGACGTCGAGATTGTGTCCGGTGCCGTGGCTTTTACTAATGAAAATATCAATATTTGTCTACATATCGGTTTATTCTTTCTTCAAGTCGCCTAATGACTAATACTCAAGACCACTGATTATTATTATTACACGGTGAAAGTTTTGTTTAAAACGATGTGGCTTGTGCGACAGAAGTAGATCTATGTAGAATTTTATGAGTTTAAAAAACATCACTTTTCTCTAATAGTCCAAGAAAATAGGCCTTCAAATACGAACTGAAAGATATTTTTAAATTCGCCCCCCGAGAAGGAGTGAAATAAATAAATAAAATTATTTTTTCGATATTTCGTATACAAAGGTAAAATAAAAGTTGGACCTACTGATTTTCTCACTGCGGTAACCTGGTGATCTTCCCTCTGCGGTGACCTGGTGTTTATCCCACTGCGGGGAGTAAAGATTCCAGTTAACGTCTCCTTTTTGGCGCCAGGGCTAATCGGGGCCTACTTTGTTTACGATTGATTTCTCTACTGCGGGGACCTAATGATTTTTCCTCTGCGGGAACCTAGTAATTTTCCCACTTCGGGGACCTGGTGAATTTTCCACTGTGGGGAACTAGTGATCTTCCCACTGCGGCGACCTGGTGATTTTCCCACTGCTAGGACCTGGTGATTATCCCATTGCGGGGACCTAGCGATTTTCCCACAGCGGGGACTTAGGGATTTTTCCTCTGCGGGGACCTAGTGATTTTCCCCCTTGAGGACCTGGTGAATTTCCCACTGGAGTGACCTTGTGATTTTCCTACTGCGAGGACCTGATGATTTCTCCACTGCGGGGACCTAGTGATTTTTCCCACTGCGAGGACCTGGTGATTATCCTATTGCGTGGACCTAGTGATTATCCCACTGCGGGGACAGCAATTTTTCCGCTGCGGTGACCTTGTGATTTTCCCACTGCGAGGACCTGGTGATTTCTCCACTGCGGGGATCTAGTGATTTCTCCTACTGCGAGGAACTGATGATTGCTTCACTGCGGGGACCTAGTGATTTCTCCTACTGCGAGGACCTGGTGATTATCCCATTACGTGGACCTAGTGATTTTCCCACTGCGGGGACCTAGCGATTTTTCCTCTGCGTGGACCCAGTTATTTTCCCACTGCGGCGACCTTTTGATTTTCCCACTGCGAGGCCCTGGTGATTTCTCCACTGCGGGGACCTAGTGATTTTCCCACTGCGAGGCATAGCAATTTTTCCGCTGCAGGGGCCTAGAGATTTCCCCCTTCGGGGACCTGGTGAATTTCCCACTGCGGGGGCCTAGTGATTTTGTCACTGCGGTGACCTGGTGATTTTTCGACGGCGGGGACCTTGTGATTTTACCACTGCGGGGACCTAGTGATTTTTCCTACTGCGAGGAACTGATGATTTCTCCACTGCGGGGACCTAGTAATTTTTCCACTTCGGGGACCTGGTGATTTTTCCACGGCGGGGACCTTGTGATTTTACCACCGCGGGGACATAGTGATTTCCCCTACTGCGAGGACCTGGTGATTATCCCATTACGGGGACCTAGTGATTTTCCCACTGCGGGGACCTAGCGATTTTTCCTCTGCGTGGACCTAGTTATTTTCTCACTGCGGCGACCTTTTGATTTTTCCACTGCGAGGCCCTGGTGATTTCTCTACTGCGGGGACCTAGTGATTTTCCCACTGCGGGGACATAGCAATTTTTCCGTTGCAGGGGCCTAGAGATTTTCCCCCTTCGGGGACCTGGTGAATTTCCCACTGCGGGGGCCTAGTGATTTTCTCACTGCGGCGACCTGGTGATTTTTGCACGGCGGAGACCTTGTGATTTTACCACTGCGGGGACCTAGTGTTTTTTCCACTTCGGGGACCTGGTGATTTTTCCACGGCGGGGACCTTGTGATTTTACCACTGAGGGGACCTAGTGATTTCTCCTACTGCGAGGACCTGGTGATTATCCCATTACGGGGACCTAGTGATTTTCCCACTGCGGGGACCTAGCGATTTTTCCTCTGCGTGGACCTAGTTATTTTCTCACTGCGGCGACCTTTTGATTTTCCCACTGCGAGGCCCTGGTGATTTCTCCACTGCGGGGACCTAGTGATTTTCCCACTTCGGGGACCTAGTGATTTTTCCATTGCGGTGGCCTGGTGATTTTCCCACTGGGGGCTTAGTGATTGTCCTACTGCGGGAACCTAGTGATTTTTCCACTGCGAGGACCTACTGATTTTTGTGATTATTTTATTTTTATGATTTATCACAACTTTTATTGATTTTTTATGAAGTCCTTACCGTTTCTTTGAAATGTAGAAAAAACACACTTTATTTATATTTTTCACCCTTTCTCGGGGTAAATTTAAAAAAATCTTCATTGAAATTTATAATTTTCCAAGCAAATTGAGTAAAAATGTTAAATATATGAATTTTTCAGCAACTTATATTTTTTTTTAAATTTCTACTATCGTCCCCTAGCTTCTAGCCACAATATCTCGGTTAATTTTGATCTGAGCAAAAAAAGTATAGAGATCATTTCTATGCAAAATTTGACGGCCCACAACTTTTATTTGAACATTTTTTTAGTTCTTACCGTTTCTACGAAATTTTGAAAAAGTTATATTATTGATTTATTTCACCCCTTCTTGAGGGAGAATTTTAAATAAAATATTTCAAAGGTTTCTTTAACTAATTTTAACTAATTTGATCACCTTCTCTGGGCATTCTTTGATAGACAGAGGTAAGACGGAAGTATTTCCAGAAAAATGACAGGCAAAACCTAAGGTAAAATGTTACGTGTGGACTGGACTGTACGAAAAAAAAAATATTTCTGTGGATTTTTAAAATAATATGGTTCCGCGAAACCCAACCTAATCGTATAGCAAACAAATTGTTAGAAATATAACGGTTTTGTATCATCATTATTCAAGCATAAGTCATACACTCATAATGCCTTGTCTTCGGCAAACAGTAATGTCGACAAAGATTTTTTGATTCGGCGAAAATCAAATAAAAACGTAAACTTGCATAAGAGAAAGGAACATTATTTATTATTGTTAACAAGCTCCTTTGTTTATACTAGCCGTAATCTTTTGATGATGTGCCGAATAAAACATTCTATGTGGAAAAACCAGATAAGTGTGAAAAGAATTAGGTTGTTAAATTTTAATAGCCAGAGTAATCATATTATATCTTATTCAATTAATGTTTATCATACTTGATACTATTTTGTAGGCAATATTTTTGACATTTCGACATTGTTTCTTACTAGCTTTTATTAGACAAATAATGCAAACTTGAGCAGTTGTATTTTTTATAGAATTATCTGATTTTTTCTTTAACTTGAATTTTTTTTCAGAAAAACGGAAAATAATTTCAACATGGAATTTTTCTTTATTTCAGCCCTATAAAGTAATAATTTCATATTTTCATTATATTAATATAGTTTATCTAAAAGCCACACTTGATTGAGGATAGAAAAATGTCCAAAATTTTACTGAAAAACACTTTTCTTAACAAAATAACAAAGAAAATTGAGACCAGATGGAAGTTTGACATTTCATATATTATTTCTCTCTCCTATGTAATGAGAAAGACAAATATATTCTAAACCTAATCTAGAAATTTGAAAATTTACAACGCTGCCATATCTTCTATTTTTTCGGGTGATTAGGGATTTTAAATAAATTACCTATTATGAGATCTGACAATAGTTAAATATACCTACCTATATCCACAAAGTTATGCGGCAGAGTTTTGATTGCATTGGTTACAACTTCCACGCGGAGGGTGTTATATTATATTAAAAATATATTAACCCCCTCAGCAAAGAAGTTATATACTTAAAGACTATTTATAACCACGACGTTACACGAAAGAGTTTTGATGGCTTTGGTTTCAACTTCTTTGCGGAGGGGCTTAATCTTTTTTTGATATAATATAACAACAAAAGATGAACAACCTCATGGAAGTTGTAACCAATGCAATCAAAACTCTTTCGTGCAACGTCGTGGTTATAGTCAGATCTCGTTGGTAAAATAGCAGTTATGGGAAGGAGCCGTGCTTCCGGCGACCGCCTTTCGTAATCCCAGAATGGGCGAAAAAAACACGCTAAATTTAGGTTTAGCATTGGCAACGTTGCTTAAAATGCTAGAAACACATAACCCAACATTTTCAGATTGTTTACAAATTTATTTTAGCAAATTTTCCTCTATTATGCATAGAATTGGTTAAAAAAGTAACAGAAAATAGCAAAAACATAATTGTTAATTGAATATCTAACAAAATATGTGCTAGAAAACTTTAAAAATATGAGAAATTAAGAAAAATTCGTTGTTGAAATAATTTCTCGTTTTTCTGAAAAACCGCTAGGGAAGAGACCGCCAGAAAAAAGTTCACATTCGTAATCTACGACCTCAAAATAGGGTGTATACCAATTTTGGTGAAAATCGGACGATTTCCAGTTTTCCCAATAATTACCATCCTAACATTTCATTTTTTGAATTATCCTATTATCTGTATTTTTTTATGAGCTACAGATGTACTGAGACTTTCACAATCTTGAATTTATATTGTATAGGATATCCTCCAAGAAATTGTAAGAATTGTGCAGACAAGTTCAAGCGTTCCATTACTCCCCTAAGAGGTAGCGAAGTTTTTTCTGAAACTGTTATGTCCGCCCCTCAAACGAGGTCCAAATAATAATACATTAACAAGATATTTGGCAACATTAAATCGCTTTTCTTTGTATCGTCTGTCGGTTTTGTGACATCGTCTGTTTTTTCCCTTACCCTTCACATAAAAATTAACATAAAAAAAATGACTCACCTCCACTTGTAGTTAGAGATTCACAAAAATTCCTAGTTAAAAAAGGTAATTCACTTGGTGCACGATCTGAAACAGAAATACATCAAATTAGTAATTTAATACAATTAATTAACGTACAAAACAAAACGTAGAACTAAACAATGTGTCCTTAATTGCTAACTACAGCTGGTTGAAAACTATAAATTGGATTAATTAAATAAAATAAAATAAGCGTACATAAATAAGTATTAATTTGTTATAATTGGAGTTAAATCCTATATCATATATTTTAAAATCAAGAGAAAATAAAATAAGTCGCTTGGCGCCAATTAATTTCCAAAGTAGAATAAAATAGTTATAGTAGCGTACGTATATCTCAGATTACGCAAAACCTACGACTTTTTCCATTGAAAAGAGATAGAAAACAACTTTAATAAATAAAATACGGTAAATATTAAATTGCTATAATATATGAATACGTTTTGTGTCAATATTTATAAGTTTTTATATTTATTTAGTAATTTATTATCGTACATTCAAATGAAAAGTAATACCAAAGTTTACAGAATTATTTTTAATTCTGTAATTTTTGGTAATACCTACAGTATTGGCCAAAAGTGGATGAACCAATACCAATAATTGCGAAGAAAATCAGATTTGAGGTGTTAAATATCAAAATTATTTTATGTACCTTTGTATGTTAAAAGGTTAATACATTCTCACAAAAATACTACAAACAAATATAAATTCTTCTGTTAGTCTTATCAGTTATCAGATAAAAATTGGAAAATATTGCTCTTTTATCTTGGACAAAAGTAGATGAACAAAATATTTTTAAAAATCGTTAGTTTCATTTGTTCTGCTTTTATGAACAATTGCGATTTAAAAATATTTGCGCTCTTGTGATATATCATTCCACGTGGAATTAACTTGTCTGCAGATCTTAAGTTGCGAGTAGTGAATGCTTTTAAGGATGGTTTGAAGCAATCGGAAATCGCTAAGCAATTACGCCTTGGAAAATCAGCGGTACATTATATTTTAAAGAGATATAATGAGGAGGAGATGTCTCTATAAAAAGAAAACCAGGACGACCTAAAAAAGTTGGTCCCAATGTGATAAAAGCCATAAAACGAATTTCTTCACAAGATCCATATTTGCCATCAACGAAGATAAAAGCAAAACTTGAAGAAATGGGCTATCCACCAGTGAGTACAAGGACGATCCGACGTAAATTAGTTAACCAGAAGTTGTTTTCCCGAAGATCCGCCAAGAAACGACTACTATCAAAAAAAAAATTGAAGGCCCGATTAGCATTTGCCAAGGAACATCAAAACTGGACTGTGGCACAATGGAAAAAAAATTGTTTTAGTGATGAATCAAAGTTTAATTTGGTGTCATCAGATGGAATTCAACATGTAAGAAGACCTCCCAACACACGATTGCTACCAAAGTACACGCGACCCACTGTAAAACATGGTGGGGGCTCAATCATGGTATGGGGCTGTTTTTCTGGGTATGGGATGGGGCCTCTCCACAAAATTGAGGGCATAATGGATCGGTTTGGCTACAGAGACATTTTACAAAACCTTTTAGTGCCTTATTTGGAGGAAAAAATGCCAGTTGTACACTACTTCCAACATGATAACGACCCAAAACATGCCTCACAATTGGTTAAAATGTTTTTGGAAGATGAAATGGTGACTGTTCTCACATGGCCATCGCAATCCCCAGACCTGAATCCAATAGAAAATTTATGGGAAATTTTGGATCAACACATTAGGACCAAATTCTACAAAAATAAGCAAGAATTATTTGCAGCTTTGGAAAAGTCTTGGAAAAATATCGATTTTTCAATAATTGAAAATCTTCTGGGATCTATGCCTAAGCGATGTCTGAAAGTAATTAAGAATAAGGGTTATTACACTAAGTACTAGTAAATTATATGTTAATTTTTCAGTTTTTGTTAACACAAGATTTTTTTTATTAAATATATATTTTGTTCATCTACTTTTGTCCAATAGCTTTTTCAATTTAAATTTTTTGCTACCTTATTAAAGCACATTTTAAAAAAACAATGCTATTTATTTTTATAGCACTGACACTAGACTTCAAGTAAATATAGCTCAAATTTTAATTTTAAACATATTAGGAAAAACCCATTATTTTAACAAAGTTCATCCACTTATGGCCAATACTGTACACCCAATACATACCATCCTGGACACTTCATCTGCGTGGTCTGTATTTTAATGGATGCGACAGAGATAAATATAAACGACCGGTTGAGAAATAGAGAGACAAAATAAACAGCGACATACAGTATTGCCGGTTTTTACGTGTGTAGAAAAAAATAAACTTCTTTAAAAACTTTCATGTAAACTACTGAAATGAAGATTATATATCTAAGCTAGATATAATCCATTACGGTTGTAGTAAAATGAGTAACTAATTGTGTAAAATAAAGTTTTTTAATGGGGTCCAAAGATACTACACTTTAAACTAAGTTAACTATGGATGGGTTTAACTATAAATCCGTCATACGTCGTCTCTTGTTGTTTTTAACCAGTTTTATTGGTTTATTTCTAAAATGACAGATCATATTTTATTGGTTTGACGGAACGACGAACGACAAACGGACGCCGATGCGTATGAATCCGCCTTTAGATTTTTGAGGCTTGTCAAAGTCTTGCCAAATTATAGGTTATACTTTTGTGTCAACTTATGTCAAATACCCTGCGTTTTGGAAGATGATGCATTTTGATTCGTGTGTTGTTATTACGTGTGTTTTGTGTCTTTTGAAGTCAAGTGGAGGAAAAATCGAAGAAAAATTAACTGTAGACCCAGAGCACAGTTTATAGTTAATACTCGGTGCCCAGGCAGAAAGGCTTATACACCAATAAAGTTATCGTCAATAAAGTTTGTATACCATCTCGTCGTAGATAAGTGCATCCCGTATATGGTACAAGGATCGTACTAAACATCCTAAAAACTGGAGTAGCTGCAAAATAACGACATCACACGATAGGTAAATAATGGATTTTAGTACTGCAGAAAAATAATGTTTAAAGGTATTGATTTAAAAAAATTAAGATTAAAGTTAATTAATCAACCTTTCTGTTATTATTAGTAAAACAGTTTCTTTTATTTATTTCTGTGGAATATTACAAATGTGTATTTGTACATAAGTTATATTGATAAATATATAATAATAAATGCCGGTAGTTCTTGAAGCTTGAAAGTAAGAAATAGTTCTTTTTTTATATTTTTTTGGTATGTGGTGTTCTTGTCTACTTTGTATTAACACATACCGTTTTTTTTTAAATAAAATAACTCGATTAGACTTTTTCTGTTTTATACAGTTTTTTTTTCACAATATTTTGAAGGAATTACTTCTTGTCACTCAAATTTCTTGTTGTGCGTTCCAATTGTACCAACTTATTTCTTTGTAGAACAAAATAAACTACTTTGAAATTAAAATGACACACACATCTATCACTGTCAACGATCTTATCGTTGGACAGACTTATGGAACGGTTTTTTCGGTGCGCTCTTTTTAGACATAACGGTAGAACCCAGTTAAGAACAACACCAAAGTTTACAGATATTCTTAATTCTATAAACTTTGACTACTTACACGTCCCTTCAAGAAACACTAGTGTTCAACGCATCACTATCTTCCGTTACCGTCGATATACATAACGCATTCGAGTCGCGAGCCAACGACCTCTTCACCATGTCACCTAACTCTTTTCTTTCTCTCAACGCCGATGACCCTCTTTCCAGCCACCTGACTCTTGCATCGGCGTTCGTCTCTCTCTGTGACTCTAATCTGCCGCTCGCGGCGTCTTTGTTCTTCCTTGGCCTCACCTAGACCCAAGACCATCAGTGAATCACCCGTGGTTTTGTTCGAAATCCGTGGAAGAGTTGCGGCCATTTGAAGAAACGGTACTACTTTCAGGCGCTGGCGCTTCGAATTTTTCGACGGTGCAGACGTGGTACTAACCAACATAGTGCGGTTTTGCTTTGTTCGTGGTTTTTTATTCACTTTTGATTGTTCTAATTTTTAGCCGACCATACCAACAGGTAATAGATCTATAACATCGCGGTTATTAATAATAACTTTCCTCTTAACCATATATATTAATCGGTTTAAAACGTTCTACGTCTTCCGATGCCATCTCTCCATGCCTGTCTGTCTCTCCATGCACCGTCTCCGAGAGATCTTTTCTCCATAAACGTGTGTCAATCCCTTCCTGCCAATTTCTTCTCGGTCTACCCGGTTTTCTTCTTCCTGCAGGTTTCCAGTTTATAATTTGCTTTGGGATTCTTATTTCTGCCATTCTTTGGACATGCCCGTACCATATGAGTTGACTGTTCTTTATGTCGTCCAGTATCGTATGTTTAACTTCCATAATCTCTCTTATGCGTTCATTAGTTATTCGCTCGAGTCTTGATTTGCCTGCTGATCTTCTCCAAAAATCCATATCTGTAGCTTCCAGCATTCGTTTTGTTGTTTCCTTAATTGGCCAGACTTCACAGCTGTACGTGGTTATACTATTTATGATGGTATTGTATATTAGAGTTTTGTTCTTCTTGTTTATGCTTCTGTCCCACAGTGTCCCATTCAATACCGTGATAGCATTCCTTCCAAGTTGGTTTCGTTCTTTAATTGCTGTATCCAACAGTCCATCATTTGTGATTTGCATACCCAAATATTTGTATTTTGTGCAGCACTTAATTTTCTTCCCTTCTTCTAGTATTAGATCTTGTTGTTCTCCTCCGATACACATATATTCTGTTTTGTTAGTATTGATCTCGAGTCCTCATTTCTGATATTCTTCTATAAGCTTACGTGTCATATAATTTATGTCATCGTAATCTTGTGCTATGATCACCTGATCGTCCGCGAAGCAAAGTGTGTAGAGCATGTTACCCCTATGGGTACTCCCATATTTCTACATTTTGCTTCCAGCCTTTGAGAACTTGTTCGAGATATATCTTGAACAGTGTTGGTGAAATACAGCACCCTTGTTTCAGACCTTTGGTTCCATTAAATCCTGTTGTTAACTTTTTTGCCGACTTTTATT